ACTACGTTAGTACGGGTAAGAACACAGTAAGTTATTTATTTCTATGTTATACGGGTAGAACACTAGTTAAGTTTTATTTCTATGTTATTTTGATCAGTTTAGTGGCCTTACTTCGCTCTAATCATGCTGCTTGTATCTAATGGACTTACTAAAAAATTGTAACCAAAGTAGAAGTTACTACATTTTATGTTATTTTTGGAAAATAAAATATTCTGAAATTTTAAAAGCCAAAATAAGTTAAGAGAGAGAAAATACCAGGAAATTTACGTCTTTGTGTTACACTACGAAAATTAAACCTGTATTGTTCTGCTCAAATTGTTTCCGTAAACAACAAACATTGTGTAACTTTAGTTTGGAATGTTATCAAATTGTATGGTAAACCAGTGGTTCCCAGACTTTTTGGCAATCATGGACTGGTAAGATTAAGTAAGCGCTTCAATCGCAATCTGTGGGTTCGATTTCCCGTCACACCAAACATGCTCGCTCCTTCAGCTGTGGGGGCATTATAATGTGACAGTCAATCCGACTATTCGTTGGTAAAAGAGTAGCCCAAGAGTTGTCGGTGGGTGGTGATGGCTAGTGCAGATAGCCCTCGTGTAGCTTTGTGCAAAATTCATACCAAACAAACCAAAAACATTTTTGGAGAAAAAAACGTAAATAAGTATCAGTGCTTTTAACATCCAAAACACATTGTTGACCAGTACCGGTCCGCAGACCGACACTTGGGAAACACTTCCCTAAACAACAAACATTGAGTAACTCTAGTGAATGTTTGAAATGTTGTCACATAAATGAGTAGAATATTAAGGTTTGTCAAGCCACAGCAATGACAGCTCAGGTTTTGATGTACTCGTGTGTTTAAATGTGATTGGATAATTAAATTTAATTTCATCACTATAAAATTCATCTTTTTATTTATATTTGTTTCAGATAATTGGTAGATATTCGAGTTTTCCACTTATCCAGCTATGCTTCAGAAATGTGAAGTAATATATTTAAAAACATAAAGTATACCTTGGCTCGAGTTAACTAAAGAAATAACCCGAAGCAGTAGCAATGAGGAGATTTTTAACATACACTTCACAAAGGAATAAATTGTTAACAACCATTCTCTAAACTTTAGTTGGTATTATCATCAGGATAAATAATCTTCCAGAGTTAGAAATAATTCAGTTTGTAACACAGTTCAGTATAAATAGTTACCAAACAATTGTGTCTGTCAGCAGCTTTATCAGCATTGTTCAGAAAAACACTTGTATTTTAAATTTCTTCTGCAGATATAGTGGAAGGTGTGGAAATTCGAGAATGTATAAATTATGTAGAAGAAGCCATCAACAGACAGGTAAGAATACTATTGTAGTCTGTTATGTCAAATAATAAATATTGTTAAATTCATTATGTCCTGTGTTTTTAATCTGTGTGTGTGTGTGTCCAACACAGCCAATAATCAATAGCTGAAAATATTGTTACTGTCCAACACAGCCAATAATCGATAGCTGAAAATATTGTTACTGTCCAACACAGCCAATAATCGATAGCTGAAAATATTGTTACTGTCCAACACAGCCAATAATCGATAACTGAAAATATTGTTACTGTCCAACACAGCCAGTAATCGATAGCTGAAAATATTGTTACTGTCCAACACAGTCAATAATTCATAGCTGAAAATATTGTCACTGTCCAACACAGCCAGTAATTGATAGCTGAAAATATTGTTACTGTCCAACACAGCCAATAATTGATAGCTGAAAATATTATTACTGTCCAACACTAGCAAATATTTTACATGTGATTTAGTGTTTAGAATTCATTCACAGATGTATTTATACTGAAGTACAATTTTCCTTACATTTTGAATTTTGGGTGTACAAAGTTATGACAAAAATTGTTAACTTATACTCATTTCTCACAAAATGGATTGGGCATGTCGTACTTGGAACCTGAGGGTTCATGACCTGTTGCCACAAAGTGCTGTTCTATACGGTGGGTCCACTATAAGAGTGATGTTTAATTAGAGTCGCCCAGCAGTCAGCGTCTTTGATTAACTGCTTTCTCTCCAGCTTATTGGTTCAGAACTAGAGATGGCTATGGACAGACAGCCTGTTATGAAACTTTGTTTGTTTGTTTCAGAATTGTGTACAAACAAGTATTTCAGATTGTTTATTTTCAAACTCTACTGACCATGTAATTTCTGACAGCTTGATAAATTAACAGATTTGACTCCCAATATTATCACTTTGGTAATTTCACCCCCATGCATTTTACTCCTTGTAAATTCAATCACTGTAATAATATATTAATGTTAAGTAATAATCAACAGTAACATTTATTAAAAGTGATGCAAGTTATGAGCTATTCCTCGTAAAAAGTCCATCTTGTTTTCTGGATTATATCTAGCAAGAAGAATGTAGATTATGGAATACTAAAACATATTTTATGACATTAACAAATTATTACAAGGAATGAAATGCACACAAATTACTGAAGTGATAATACTGGGGATCGAGTTACTGGGAGTGAATTCTCCTACAACCCTTTCATATATGTATGTATGTATGTATGTGTGTGTGTGTGGTGTTGGTGGGTTGAGTCTGTAGAACTATATATATATATGGAGGGGGTTGAGTGTGTAGAATCATATATATGAGGGGTTGAGTGTTTAGTACCATATATATGTGTCTGATATGTGTGTGATATTGGTGGGTTGAGTGTCTAGTACCACATATGTGTGTGTGATATTGGTGGATTGAGTGTCTGATACCATAAGATATATTTGTATGTGTGATATTGGTGGATTGAGTGTCTGATACCATAAGATATATATGTATGTGTGATATTGGTGGATTGAGTGTCTGATACCATAAGATATATGTGTATGTGTGATATTGGTGGATTGAGTGTCTGATACCATAAGATATATGTGTATGTGTGATATTGGTGGATTGAGTGTCTGATACCATAAGATATATGTGTATGTGTGATATTGGTGGGTTCAGTGTCTAGTACCACATATATGTGTGATATTGGTGGGTTGAGTGTCTAGTACCACATATATGTGTGTGTGGTATTGGTGTGTTGAGTGTCTGATACTGTATATATGTGTGTGTGATATTGGTGGGTTGAGTGTATTGTACCACACATATGTGTGTGTGTGTGTGATATTGGAGGGTTGAATGTCTAGTACCACATATGTGTGTGTGATATTGGTGGGTTGAGTGTCTAGTACCACATATATGTGTGTGATATTGGTCGATTGAGTGTCTGATACCATATATATGTGTGTGTGATATTGGTGGGTTGAGTGTTTGGTACCACATATATGTGTGTGGTGTTGGTGGGTTAGTGTCTAGTACCATATATGTGTGAGTGTGATATTGGTGGGTTGAGTGTCTAGTACCACATATATATATATATATATATATTAATTTGTGACGTAATGAAGTTAAACTTTTTTTCAGAATATTTTGCCAGATAAGAATAATGTTCTCTTTGTTTTAATACTAGACCTGTAGAGGATTTCTTTCTCCATTTTCTAGACGTCTAAAGTCTTTAATCACTCGTCTACATTGCTCATCTTATTGAAATCATTGTTGAAATCAGAAAGTTCAGATTTCTTGAAACAAAATAATTAACTTAGTTCTCTGTGACTTGTTTGTTTTGGTTAGCTTTCAAAACGGAATACTCTGCGTCTTCTTTGTCTACTCTCCATCAGCCAGGATGGCTTGTCTTCTAGAGATTACAGGTCTCTATTTACCCAGTTTCTTCAGGTAAGCAGCACCATTTAATGGACTAGTGGCTTGCGGGCAAATTTTATTAGGAGATTTTTACACCACTATATTTTGGGCTAACTGCATTCAATGCCATTGATCATCTCATATTTGTTTTTCGTATTTGATCACTTTCTTTAAGTGTTATCTTAAACCCATTTTGTGACTAATATTTTAAGGAAACTTGGGTATGATTTTTATTTATGTATTTATATTAAAAAAGGTACCACATCTAATTAGTATAAAATTGAATTTTCTGTTTGTATTTGTTAATAGGTACTTTTTTTTTCTTCCTTAGTAGGTTTACATGTTTCTTCAGTTTTGAAAATGTTTGTTAAGTGACTGAGATATTCCAACTCTTGGATGTGGCCTCGTAAAAAACAAAAAAAAAAACGTGAACAATTTTGTTACTAAAGCACCTCAGATAATTTACTAATTTTATTAACTGATTTTAACATGTTAATAAACCAATAATTCTAAAGATTAACATGTTCATAGTGGCTGAAGATATTTTTGTGTGCGTATATGACAAAAAGAGCATACTTTTAACATGTTAACATTCTCATGTGTAAAGGTCTGTTGATTTCATGCCTTTGGAAGAATAATCCCCGTACCATATTTTCTCACAGAGCTATGGTCATAATTACTTATTGACATTTTTCAACCTGAAGAAGACAGGGCTCTTCACTGAGCAAGCATCTGTGGTTGTCCCCTCTGCATCAGCAGTGGCTAGTACTGCAGCCATCAGGATGGCTGGGAAGATGGCTGCAGCAATGGCATCGTTACCTCGTAGCAGTTCTTTCAAAATAGTTACTCGGAAGTTTTCTTTGGTAAGTGAGAAATTTGAATTTTTCTTGAAAGTTTGGTACATGAGAGATCATACTAACCAAATCTGAGGTGAAAATCATAGTAAAATTTATGAAACTTGTTATCAGTTTATACCACCATCAATTGTGAAGTTGAATTAGTGTGTTTATATAATCAGGTAAATGCTAGGTTTAACAAATGGCAGGCTGTAATTGACTGAAATACAGACTATTTTTAGTGAAATCTCGTGGTTGTTTCCCACCTTCTACCTGACGGCTGAAAATAACCTTGTAACTCGGACCACAGAAACAAACATTGAATTTTTACATTTTAACTGAAGAGAAAAAAATTCTCTTTCTCTAAATAAGCATTTTTTACAGGTTGAAGTATTAAAAACAGGCTATTACAGGTTCTCCGAGCAATTACACAGGTTTTAAAGGTTTGCTGGAAAGTTAATGATAAGTACATTTTTGTGTAGGTTCCACCCGCCATCGAGCATTATGACTTGAAGAATCCTACGGACATGGGATACGTGTTCAGTGGTGCTTATGTTCCACTTACTTGTCGGATTGTTGAAGAGGTGTGTGTTTATTGTTACGTTATTACTTCTCAAAAAACTATGATTTATCTTCAAGTTATTAAACCATTTTACAATAACCTACTGGGTGTGTGTAAAGTGGGATAAAGTTCACAACATTAGAATTTGTTCTATGAAAAAAAAAAAGACTATATCTATGTTTTTTAAAATGACAAGCATAAAAATGTCATTTTTTAGCATTTTAATTCTACATTCTTCAGATTATCCAAAGGGATGGAGTGAGAGGTCTGGAGGAACCACTGAAGCTCCTGTCTGGTCCAACGGTCAGCTCAGTCAAAGGTTAGGATCTTATATGCATCTAAAGGAAAGATAATATAAGTGTTAGGATAAAATTCAAAGAGCTTGTGTAAATATTTAAAATATATTCAAATGATCAACATTGTATAATACACGATTCAAATCTTAAAGATGATGTGGAAACACGTAGAGTGTCTTTTACGACCATCGATCAGTTTTTAAATAAATTGTGTATTATAAAACGTTGATTGTTTGAGTATTTGAATATATTTTGAACCTAAATTGTAGTCACTAGTAAGTAAAGAGATGTTTATATATAGATATGTAAGTACTTGTGAACGCTGACTTTATCCACTAGTCACGTGTTTATTACCTACTTTCAATTTTTAACACAACGTATTTATGTAAATGAACAGGAAATGATTAGGAATTACGTGAATTACATGAAAGTTTGTCAGTTTTTATCCTTACTTATTCAAAAGTACGGCTGGGGTTGGTATCTAATTGGTCCATATTTTGATACGAGTATGTAAAGGAATTAGGCTTATAATTTTTGGCTGAAGTCTTACATTTTTTAATGAAACCAACCTGAAAAGTGCTTGACGTTTGTCAGAGTTGCTTGATCAAGTTGCTATTTATATGATTTTATATGTTTCACACTGAAAACTCTTATTCATATTATATCCTATTGTTGTAATATCAAGGAGAACCTAGAATAACACCAGGTGCCCACTCGGATCCACTTTCACCTAAAGTGGTGTTGGTGTGTTTTCTTGGAGGTGTGACTTATGCTGAAATAGCAGCTCTGAGACTCTTGGAAAGATTGAAAGGCAAGTTGATTGTGTTTTAAATTTATAGAATTGTTTGTACATACATTAATTGTTGGAGTAACAATAAGATAATAGTTTATCCAAGTTTGTGTATTGTTTGTACCATGTACCACATACACATTAATTGTTGGAGTAACAATAAGTTAATATTTGACCAGAGTTTGTGTATTGTTTGTACCATGTACCACATACACATTAATGTTTTAAATGTACACAATATTTTAATATAATTTTACTAAAGATTTCATCCCATTTTAACATTTTAATTTTGTATAAATGTGAAAACGGTAATGAATTATTTCTAACCTCTCCAGGTTGTCAGATCTTTATAGCGGCGACATCTATTATCAATGGTAACACTCTTCTTCAGCAGTTTGAACCAACATTCTTGTAGATATCCAGTAATGCTTCTTTCTGATTGGTTAAAGAGAGGATCACATCTCACTTGGAAGAAACATATGCTTTGTTTTCTTTTAATATTTAAAAGTAAATTCTGTTACTTAACAAGGAATAAATGCATTTGAATTGTGTATAAATTAGGGTAAAGAGACATGAAAATGAGTCCAATTTATCAATCTTTTTATCCCACGTGTTCTTTGCTTGACTGTTTAGTGACTCGAACCTTGGATTACTGATGCACTGTCTTAAATTAAGAAAGTCAAAA